CCGCCTCGCTGGCAGGCCGGGGCGCACCTGCCTGCCAGCCCCCTTCCCCGCAACTGGTGAGGGAGCTTAACACTTGCCCCCTTCCTCACTAACGAGCCAAGGGTGGGCAGAGACTCCCGGCACCAAGCCCTGGTAACTATCTAGAAGCAGGTCTGCTCTTCCTCGCTGTGGAATAGAGCCTCCTGGAGCTCCCTCAATACCTGTTTAGGGGAGAGGCATCCTCAGACCCCAGTTTCGGAGGATTGCGAGAATAACCCTTACCACCCCCTGCTACTGAGGAAATTCCTTTCCCAGACCAGATAGTAAGAGGGGAGTCTTCACAGAAGAAACCCCGTATGCCCAAGAGAGGCAGTCCCCAAGACAGAAATAAGCAGGAGCTCCAGGTACTTACCTAGTAATTTTAATTATTTACATCTGCTCACCAGGCAGCAGAGAAAGCAAAACAAGGGAGAGAAAGCAGAGGCAGATTTAGATATTATTCTTCCCTTTTCCAGTTGCTGTTAACCACGGGAGATAAAGGTAATTTCCAATACTGACCTCATCCTCCTTCATCCCAAGGAAGATCCCTCATTCCCTAATCCCAAGAGCGTTTTCTTCAGATATCCTGTGCAAGGAGAGAAGACACACCTCCCAGTTACAGGGAAAGGAAAAGGCAGATTTCGCTGATAATATCCACAGAGATAGCAAGAATTTTTTCGGAGAAAGAGATTTGCCCACCCTTAAGGACAAGGTGCACCTAGAGGAAAGAGAAGAGAGATTTACAGGTAGGGAGATTGGGGAAATTGGTCTCTGAAATAATCTGACAATCAGTGAAAAGGCTGTCTCCCGGGGGAACACCCCTTTAGTAGTCAGCTGCCAAAAGGGAGAGAGGATCTCCATCCTGGGATAAAATCAGCAGTTTTAGGGGACTGACAATCCCAAGCAGATTGTTTTAATACTCAAGATCCTGATTTCATCCACAATCCCTTCGCCCTCAAAATATTTCTTGAAGAAGCTCTTGGAATAGCTGACAGCAACGCTCTGAGGATGGGTCTCAGAGAAGGAGTGTGAAGGGAAGCACCCCAGAAACCAGCACTGAAGATAATCCACCTCCCTCCAGAAAATCTTCCAGAGTGAGTGACCACATTGTATCACCTCTCTATTCCTAGCTGTTCTTCCCTTTCGCCTTCTGTCTTTGTTTTCCATGTCTCTTCTCTCACTGTATCTGCTTTCCTTTTAATCTTTTCTCTCTGTTTCTAAACCTGTCCCCAGCCGCCTTTTTCTGCGTGTCTTTCTCCATCTCTCTCATTTAGCTCCCTTATATGCTATATGGGATTGACCTGATTCTTTCCCTCACTTCTTAGCTTATGGGAGACCTTGGCCCTATTTAATTGTAAGAAACCTCTCTGCCCTTTCCCTTCTACTTTCTTTCACTGGTGTATTCATCCTAGGCTCAGCCTTTATCATCACCGGTGTGAAATTAATTTCTGTCATTTGGGGGTCATTGAGAAGGATAATACTGGCCAAAAAAGCGTTGAGGAGACAGGAACAGTGATTTGTAGTGCTAGCGTCCAAGGATGCACCCATGGGGTTGGAGTGTCAGTTGTTCTCCATGTGGGTCCTACTATGCTCGTAACTGTGGGAATAAAATCATTGTGCGATGCAGACCTCTCTGTGCTTGGGAGCTGGGTGTACAGATCCCAGTGCTAGTACTCCAAGATGTGTGTCCTAATGTACCTAGGGGCTGTGGGATGAATTCTAGAGTGCCCTTGAGAGTGGGTTCTGTGGTGCTCAGGGGCCTGGGAATGAAAATCGTGACAGTGCTGGTGGAACCTGCTCTGAAAGCCAAAAGAAGCCATTCCGTTGCCACCAGTCTTCATCTGTGTTTTATGCTGTGTTCAGGGGCTAGGAATGTGAATCCTAATGCTAGTGCCGTGGTGAGCCAAGCTGGCTGCTTTTAGTAAATGAGGCAGTTAATTTCCAGTCACAAATGAGTATTCTGACACTAACGTAGTGATTTCCTGAGAAATCGAGTCCGAGGGAGACTTCATCTCAAATGAAGCCAAAGCAGATTCCCGTAGCAGAAGAATTGTGCCTAAGGATATCTCACCTGAGATATTCCTGTTTCTGTTCTCCAGTGAGACAGCAGTGAGGAAATCCAAGATCAGAGGGTCCTTGGCGAGGACAGGAACTCTTCTGGAATCCATTTGGGAGCACAGTGGTTAACTGGGAGTCCCTGAAGAAGGAACTCCTTGGTGTAATTTGCTAGCAAGATCAGACAAAAGATGCCAGGTCCCTCCAAAGTGATTCCCCATTTTGACAGAGAATTTTGACAGTTACCCGTAGCTTCAGAAGGTGCCTCTTTCTAAGGGAGGGCTGAAGCATGAAGCGTGCATATGTGCTGGGGGTACTGTTAGATGCCCTCCTACCTGTTGCCCTATAGTTATGCAATCAGCCTGTTTTGAGTACAGCTGTGTTATCTAGCACAAGGGAAGAGATAACTGAGGCATTTTGGCCTTTGTACATTCAAGGGGGTAACTGACTTTTCATGCTCCTGAGGTTAATTTACCTCACGCTGCCCCCTTCCTCACAGTAATGACTTGACATTTTTCAAGTGCTTTTGGCTCTGATGGATGCCAGGGCACTTTGCAGAATATATATGCCAGCCTTACAAAATTCTGCTCTCCCACAACAATTATCTTTTTGTATATGAAATGGTTTTTTCTTCATTATTAATGATAAAGATTAAGATTTTGTATTTGCTGCCTGAGCTTTAAATATTCATGACAGACATGCAAGGCTTAAAGTCGTATGCTGTAGAGTAATTGTTATTTATTTGTTAATTGCTGACAGGGCATTTAGTGCTGACTTGGACACACAAAATTAAGACAATCTCTGCTCTGAAGGTATCATAGTCTGAAACACAGCTATACAAAAGCTAGGACATACTGATAAATTTAAGGAAGGGAATAATTTTTAGAGAGCATAGCTCTTCAGTGTGATCATGGTATTTACATCAAATGTTTATCACAGGCGAAAATGCAGCTTTCTCTGAGGTGGAATACTGCAGCTGTTCTGCACCATTTATTTTATGCAAAAGTATCCATAAAAGAAAAAAAGGGAGAGTATTATTTATCTTCATAAAAGTGCAAGGTACTTTATAGACATATTTAAATGAAAGTGCCATGTCTTTAAGAGTTTACATTAAGAATGTTAAACCTGACCACCTAAAATTAGACTTTAAAAAACATATTTAGGTACCTAAGTAAATAGCCTAAGTCTTGTAAGTGCCCAGGAACGTAGAGTTGACTTCAACAGAAGCAATGAAGTCTTCAACGTTTGAGTAAGAGACACTTATGTGTGTATGGGTTTGTAAACTGAAATTTGGACATTCATGCTTCCAGAAGTTGACTTTTAAAGTTGAAACAGTCTGATCTTGGCCTATGTGCACTCGCTCATCTGAGAACTGAGTGTGTGGCATTTCTCAGGTAAGCCCTTAAGTAAAATGAAATGAGAAGGTCTAGAGAGTTACGTGAAAAGGTTTGTGTTACTGAAAGATCATGAGGTCATATTAACGTTTAAGTATGCGTTCTGTAAGTTCTTGGGTTTTATCTTGAAATCTGGTTCTGTCGGCAAGTTTCTAGGACAGAATAAGGAGTCAGAAAAGTTGGAATGAAATACAGTAAACAGTTTGAGGATATAATTTCCCAGTCCAAGACGGGGTTGTGACTACTGTAGTACTCTTTTTTTTTTTTTTTTTTTTTTTTTTCCTTCTCTCCTATAAAAATACAGCTGAATGCTCACGTCTCTGGAGAAGTTTTTTCTTACCCCAGAGGTACAGGTATCTTTGCTTACTACCTCCTCCCCTAAACTTCAGCTGACCTTCATATAGTGGGAGATTCAGTCTGCATCACAGTTTGGATCTTTGGCCCTTTACTTCAAGTGTCAGAAAGGAGGTATGGGTAATGGCAATGGTGATATGGACAGCTGTCCCTCAAGAGCAGGACTGAGCTGATTATCTCATTTTACACAGCTGTCAGACAGGAGTTACATCTCGGTCATTAGCAACCAAAAGATGCAATGCTTTTGGACTCATTTTTCCATTTGCTTCTCCCAACCTTGGGTAGAATTGTAACCAGTGACTTTCACACAGAACCCTCCTGTGTTTTGTAGTACTCCATTTGCAGAATCTGTTGATGAATGATGCTTCAGAATTGAAACTTTAAAAAATACTGTTTCTAGCATTTTTGGTCTGGAAAACAACTTTGAAAATAGGAGTATCGCCCAGATTAACGGACAGCCTAAAATGGTATCTCCAAAATGTTTGAACTCTCCAGTTGTGTTAACTCTGAAGCCTAAAGAAAAGCATTTAAATCTCTGTATTGCTGGGTGTTGCACGTCGTGTTATTTTAGCAAGAATATCCAGTTGATGCGTTCAGCTTCCAAATGCTTATCATCTTGGTAGGAGTCAGTATTGCTACTTGCTATCTATTCTGCTGTTGTTGTTTCCTTCTTCCTTCTAAGGGATATATGATGAGCTTAAAAATCTCTAACATATTTCTGCCCAGTACTCATGTTTTCACTTTTAAAGGCAGTCTGTGTGCGTGTATTACTGAGAGAGAGCAAGCATGCTGCAGTATGTTTTCACAATTAATTAATTGCAAATTTTCATTTTAAGTTTGAAATGAAAATTCAGAATACTGGGAATGTTTCAAAATTTGGAGACCTCGCAACAGAGTTTAGGACTGATTTAATGTTGTGTCCTGTGGTGCTTTACCAAGATTTGAACGAGACTGTCATTTTATCCTTCTGTCTTTGACCTGCCCCATCCTCTACCCCATCCTATTATGAACCTTGGAGTTGGTGTCTTAAACGTAGACGGCGCACAGATTTTGCTGGTTCCTGACCTTTGTGAACCCTTTTCTGAATCCTGTCCCGGGCTTCCTAGCATCCTGTCACAGTCAGGTTCCTCTCCTGCACCTTTAAGGCCCAGCGTGTTTCCACCCCGCCTACTTCTTTACTCTCATTTCCTCCTACACTCCACTCCTCCTCCCAGTTCTCTCTGTACAGCTCTTTGCATCTCATTTTCCATGCTGTCCCTTTGGCATTCTGGCCTGTGGTCCTATAAGCCTAAAATGCTGCTTCTCTCTTCATCAAGCAAGCATTCCTCATCTCCTCTGTAGGATTCTTCACTGGCAGGAATCCTTTCTTACTGCATCTCACAGGCCCTGCTCTTACTTCCACACCTGCATTTTGACCTGTTCTTGGTTTGGCTTTCATTAGATTATATGCTTGTGGACACATAGTGTTTTTTGTCTGAGGTTATGTCAAGAACCCTGTTCTTTTTTACCACTATATAATAAATAGAATTTTGTTCCTCTGAAAATATCCAGTCCTGCTAGGCTGGGGAATGGTACTTTGTCTCCATAATCCGACTCATTCATTCTCCCACCCTCCCTTCTTCTCTGCCCCCTTCCCTTCCTCAGGAATAGCTGGATTTTAGTTGGTTAGAATGAAAAGCCCTTGCGTTACGTTCTCGGGTTCCTTCCAGCACTTCAGGATCTTGGTTTTGAGAATTTGGGTGAACAGTTTGTGCAAGGCCCAGTACCTCGTTCCTCATCTTTCTAAGCTGGGCAGTTTACTTGATGTGAAGTCAAGAAATAAGGGAATGTGTGTTCTTTTTTGGCCCTTTTTTATGTATAAGAGAGACTGAGTAATGAGGGAGAGGGGGAGATGACGAGTGAGAGCTTTTATACCTCAAGGAAAAAAATATTTGCTTTTTTGTTTTTTTACAATTAGCAATTCAAATTTTGTTTATGCTCTCTGCTGTATAAAGACTGTGGCTGATTATAGCAGAAATATGTAATTACTGTTTAAAGTTCAAATCTGAATAATTGGGAAGGAATCTGAACATTTGTGGTCACAAATTAAAGGAGCAAAGTTTCTGAATTCTCAGTTTCCCCCAAAAAACTATTGTTAAGTAAAACCAAAACAATTCTCCCTCCCCATCAGGAACTTGCAGAGAAAAATAAACAAGCTGCTAAAATACCTCTGAAATTCCCTTTTTCTCTACCTGAACAAAGCAGACAAACTTTGAATGCAGAGAACTGGTCTGGGATTTGGGAGACCTGTGTTCT